GTGAATTCTCATTAAAACAATAGTAATGTATGATGAATTCCAGTTAACTTAGAGTGATATTGGAAACTGAAGTTATATTGTGTTGCACTTCCAAGGTTTTCAAATATAGCTGTGGTTTTAATTTAAATATTTAAGTATCTCTACTTGTTATAAATTTAAAAAGAAAAAAATTAAGGCCTCATAATAATTAATCGCTTAGGCCTCAAAATTCTCAGGGCCGACCCTGCTTCTACACTTCATTCTCCAATTCACAAAGTTTCCGCAATCACTTACTCTATTCCACAGGTAAAGTTTATTTCTTATATTTTTATCTATCATTTTGAGGGGTTGAGATTGTGGGTTTTGGTTTTTTTGTGAGATTGATTGAATCGAACACGTTTGTAAACTAATGCCTCTATCTTTGTTTGTGAAAAAAAAAAAAGTAGAATGTTATTTTGGGAATGGAACTTCACAAATTGGGATTTTGTTCATGCCAAGCAATTTATTTCCTTACTTTGCATCTATATAGAATTTTCAATTTCCCTGTATATTAATGGAATAGGTGTATGCTTATCAGGAAGAGACACGCAAGTAACGTGCGAGGAATTTGATATCTTTTGGTAAAACCATTGCTTTGTAAAGGGTTCATCCCTTGCTAAATCTGTGTGGGTTTAGGGGTTTTCCTTTTAAAAGGCGTGTTAATGCTTTTGGTTTTTTGACAGTTGGAAGATTGGTTCTTCTCAAGTTCAATCGAAACTCATTTGTTTTCATCTAACAAATCATTCTTTGAGAGACCATAGCAAATATCGATTTTGATACTTTGCGACAAAACATCTTCCTCAATAAAAGCACTCAACAAGTATATTGTTTTCTCAATATTGCCTTTGTTCTTAGTTCTTAATGCTAAATAAAGGGCTCATGGAGAGTTAATGAGTTGAGTTTGTGGCCAAAATTGATGAAATGGAACTAATATCCAATCGCAATCTTTTATGGTTGAATATTGACGTCTTGCTAAAATAGACTTTCTTAAGAACTAGCAAGTAGGAAAAGGACAAGAAATTAGTGTGAGAATACTCAATTTCCTAAATCTTCCATTTGAACCTGACTTGATTATTAGAAGTTTCTTGTCATCCTCTCATTAGCCCGTCAGCCCTAACAACGAAGAGGAAAAGGAAAACAGAACAACAGTTCTATTGTTTGGTACATGCTATGTTCTTGGTTCTATTTCATAGCATTTGATAGTGCCATTTTAGTTAAGTTTTACATGATGACATTAGTCACAGATATTGTTTCATCTTAATTTGAGGCAACCAAAGCTCAAGTAGCAATTGAAGACGAGCCATTTTTTGGATGAAAATTATTTTTGAATGAGAGAAAAATACAAAATTGGAATTACAGTTTCAATTTTTCATCTATAAACTCTTATTGTTATGCTTCAAAAATCTTGTGTCCAGTTTTGGTTTCTATATTTGATCCGAAAGTTTTACCAATAATAATAGCTATGATTGTAATTATTATTAGCATAATGATGTTGATATTCATAGATAAGATCTAAGATTCTTGTCATCAATTGGAAAGTTAAGGATTTTACCAACTTTGTGAGTATTTGTAATCTCTATTTCATCTTCTGGTATAGATAATTGATATTGTTGTTATTTTCACTCATGATAACAATCTCAAGCCAACACTCTATTCCTTTTTAGGTATAGTTCAGAGCTTAATGTTCTCTAGATTCAAGTGCCCGGGTAACACTGATCAAGGATAAGAAGAAATATGGTATGACCCCTTCTTGATCTTTGTCATTAGCAATATAAATTAGATGAAAAGTGGTAATATTGGGAATTTTATCCTTCTGCAAATAACCAAGGACTTTTGAAATGATGAAAATGTTATTTTAACTGGGATTGATCCCCATCAGATTTTCTTAAGTTTCCTCTATCATATTACCTTTGCATATTTAATTATATAGTCAGAAGTATGTCTGGGAAGTGTTTATCATTGTTTAACTTGTTATCCATTTTGTTCATCATTCCTCGTGCAAGCCATTTAACTATTCTCACTTGCCAATCAGATTTTGTGATTTTGCAGGATTGAACTTGTGGTTCATTCTGTACAAATTTTAGCTGCTGTAGCTGTATATTATAGGCAGAAGGGATATTTCACGGGAGCCATGATTTTACTATCAAATTGTTAGAGCTACTTGAAAGTTAAGAAATATTGCTCAAGGTTTAACTTCTTACAAGCTTGTTCCAAGCTACATTAACGATGTTAAAATTGCTAATGGTTCAGTATTTGAAGAGTGTGTTTCTTTGTGCTGTGTTTACTACTGGAATTAAAAAGAGTGAAAAGGAAGGTGATTAATTGAGATTCAGGCTTGGACATTTTAGAGTTAGAAGAATATTAAAAACAGTTCTTCTATCTTACTTGAATCTTATACGTGTTTTAAAAGGGATTTTGTTACTGTTTTCTGGCAATGAAGCATAAGAAGGGAATCTTTAGAAACAATTCATATCCTATCATTTATATTTTACCAAACAAATTGACTTGATGGAGGGTACATCGGCTAGAAATGAATAGGCAGGTGTGGAATGTGTAAACAATGGAGATTTCGTATTTGAGAAGCCCTTTTTATATAATCCCACTGTTAAATCTGCCTATTTAATTGCATTCCTAATATCTCTATGGCAGGTTTGGAAGGAATTGGCTGCTGTTAGATTGGCTGCTTCTATAAGAATGTATATCCGTTCAACAACCACCATACACGTATATTTAACATTTAGCAACTAACGTGCAACACACCTTTTCCTCACTATATTGTTGAAATGTTTAGAGAACTTGGCATTGGGATAGTAGCATACAGTTCTCTTGGACGGGGATTCTTCTCATCTGGTCCAAAACGGGTTGAAATTTTCAGTGAAGGGGACAAACGAAAGGTTTTTTTGTACTTCGATCCCTCCTCAGTTTCAGTTTTATCTATTACTTATTATGTCACTGGTGTACACACCATCAACTTTACTCAATTTGTGATAGAATTATACCTAAGAATCTCTGGATTATGAATTTTTAGTTGTGGCCTAAATAGAAGCTTAAGATTTTGAGCATGTAATTATTGCATTGGTAAGGGCAGCAATACTTTCAGATTACACTCCCCAAAACCATTTAAGTAATTCTGATAGAATTATCACGCTTTCAGGCACACGAAAATAAAAGTTAATGTGGCCATTACATTACTACAATATGATTCCAGGCAGCACCCTGCCATTGAACAATTTCAAATAGAGAATGAGTGGCTTTTGTTGTGCTTAACAAAAGTTGAAGTTCATCATATGACAGACAAACCGGTTCTTTTACCATTATTGCTGATAAAAATATTTTCTCCATCAAACTTAATACAAAAAGGCTATTAAATGCCTCATTTGTGCCTGTAACAAAAGTTTCTCAGCATAATGTACCCTGGATGTATGGTTCCGAATGTTATCATCGTGTAATAATGTTAACTTTTTAGGAAACTACACGTGTAGAACCGTGTAATGGAAGAATAACTCCTCTGTGCATTATAGAATTATTTAGGATAACATTTTTATTTTTTTTTACTTCCTGAATATCTCATTAGCTGCTGGATGTGATGTTTGATTTGTCTGCTAGAGCATGCTCTGATCTAGGGACATTTTAATGCTCACAGTTGCTTCAATATATTATTTTGGTATTAAAAAATTCCGAAGTAACTTTATCTCTTCATAAATTTTCAGAGAAGATGAAGAGCTGGACGTGTTCAGCCTGGAGAATGTTATCATCTCTATCCAAGATTTGTATATGATGCTTTTGCAGATTATCAATTACCAGAAATTTTAAGGACCCCGCTGCAGTCTCTTTGTTTGCAAATTAAAAGTCTGAAACTGGGTAGTATTTCCAAGTTCCTGTCAAGGGCATTGCAGTCACCTGAGAATCTAGTGGTAATGCTTATTCAAATATGTTTCTGTTTTATGGAAAGAGCTTGCATCATGACTCACATGGAAAAACATATGTCAACAATAATGTCTTGAGGTTGTTATACAACTTTTCCTTCACATTTGCTGCTAAGGTTCAAAATGCTATTGAATATTTAAAGATCATTGGGGCTTTGGATGAGACTGAAAATTTGACTATTGAATAAGACTCCTAATTTCTCAATTTTATGCTTATTGAGGTTGCATTCTCTTATAAGTTTGGCTGATGTCCTTGACAATGCTTCCAATGGGGCCAAAACTTGCTAAAATGCTTATACTTGGTGCTATATTGAATTGCCTGGACCCAATGTCAAGTGTTGTCGCTGCTCTAAGTGTCCTGATCCTTTTTTAACCCCAGTGGACAGAAGGAAGTAAGTCAAACTTCGAAATTTTAGTAATTATATTATGAATTGTGTGGATCTTGCTGATATACTGTTGACATAGTTTGATTCGGATGGAGATGAAAATGAGAGGATGAAAATCTAACGTTGATTCATAGTCTGTTTATATATATATATATATATTCCGTTCTTCTAAGAACTTCATTCCACTCATATTGCATACGAGTTGCTCCCTGAGTCTAGCAAGGTAGACTTCTTGTTGTCCCTGTCTTTATTGCTTCATAATAATTAGTGGTTTTCTGTATCCACAAAATATCTGACTTTTTAGCTTTTATATTATACTAGTTTTCCACTTGTGCATTATGTCATTTTTTAGGTAATATTACCGTGTCAAAATATCTATTTATTTCTTTCAATAAATCTACAAATTTGATTAATTGTTGCGTAAAGGAATGAAGAAAAGAAGTGTATATATATATGTTTATACATGGTGCGTAAAGAAATGGAGAAAAGTAAGAAAAATAGTATAACAATTTATAACTCATATAAATTATAAAGTTATAATAATTTTATTAGGAATTTTTACGTCCAAAAAGAAAAATAATTGACGTCGTACACATAAAAAAATGAAGTACATAAAAAAATGAAGTAAATTATATTGAGAAAATTATCGCGACAAAATAATAAACATTAATAAAATAATGGATTTTTTTTTAAGAAAAAAATAAGAGTTATACTCATTTTTTAACACACGTTTGATATACTTTAACTATTTTCGATATTTATTTAGATCATTTGATTTGTTTATAATATAATTCTCGAAATGAATTTCAAAAGAATATAGAAAATTTATGGTAGATTTCTATAAAAATAAATAAATAAATCATCTGGTGAAAAAAAAAATTTTGACACAAAAAAAAAATATCAATAATCCAATAAAAAATAAAAATTTGACACGGAGCATCATTTAAAAACAAAATTCGTTGCACATGCTTTGTGACACGAAGAAAATTGCTCCATGTCACGGAGCAATTGCTCCCACGCAAGGAGCAAATTTGCTCCTGGCTGTTAGGAGCAAATGCTCCTGGCTCCCAGGAGCAAATGCTCCGTGCATCATAGAGCATTTGCTTCAAGATGCTCGGAGGTATCGTAATAATTTTTTTTCCTTAGTATTTTTTTAATGTTAAAAGAGAGATCATTTAAAAAATTAAGAATTTCGATAATCTAACTTTAAAAATTTATCGACCATTGTCCTGTAGTCGATTGCATATATCTTTTATATTCTCTTGAAATTCATTTCGAGAATTATATTATAGACATATAAAATTATCTAAATGAATATCGAAAATAGTTGAATGTACATCAAATGTGTGTGTTAAAAAATGCGTATAACTCATCTTTCTTCTTAAAAAATCAATTATTTTATTAATATTTGTTATTTTTTCGCGACAAATTTCTCAATATAATTTACATCATTTTTTAAAAAATATATATATATTATTTGGTATGACGTCAACTATTTTTTTATTGGACGTAAAAATACAAATCTGGCAAAATAGCAGCACCACAATGTTCAATATTTTTAATACTCAATCGAAAAGATGTGAATTAATTTAATTGACGATATTGAATGTTTTAGATGTATATAAATTTTGGAGGATTAAATTCAAATATATCAAAATTGGGTGATTAAATAAAAATTTCAACCCCATTTAAGCGACAAAATCTTATATTTTGGCTCAACTTGTATTTGGCTCCATTAATTTTTTTTTTCATATCTCTCTTTTTTTCAATCACAGAATTTTTTATAAAATAATATTACACGTAAATAAAAAAACTTTTCATTAAATCGATTGGATATTGAACAATAAAAAAAAATTCGATTAATTACATGATTTAATTATAATGAATATAGTTATCATCATATACGTCATTTATATTACTCAAACTAAAATAATATTTGATATATAAATTATGAATTCAAATAATTTGGGTTTTTAATCCATACATCAAGGGAACATTTATCCTATCCCCAAAAAATACATTTCAATATAGCAACACACAAAATTGAGGCTAACTAATTTTATTTTCAGAAACTTTTTGTTTTATTTCTTGGGTAAGTTACAGTAAAGATTCCCAACATTTTTTTTTCTGATTTACTTCGCCTCTAACATATGGAAAATAGGCAGTATTCATCAAACGGATGCATTTCATCTATTTTTCCATTAGCTGACACATTTAACCATTATATTTCGAAAATTAAATAATCATTCCATTAATCTTAATTACAATATTGAAAGTGAAAATGAAAATTTTTAAAAACAATAATAACAAAAGAAAAGAAAGAAAAGAAAAGAATAAAATAATAAAAATGAAAAATGCCATCTTCTTCCACCCACCTCATATGTTACACTGCCAACACCGCGACACCATAGTTAACAAGAGAGAAACTTTATACTTAATTTTTAAATTTGACCTCACGTGAAAATGAGTTGTGGACAAGGTGAAGATAGGAGACCGATGTCTTCATTTTTAGAATTATGTCCTTATTTTTATTAGGAGGTGTTCCGTATCACTTGAGCTCTTGTTTGATTTTGTAAAAAAAAAAAAAAAAAATAAAAGTGTGATTGAAAAATTGATAAAAAGTTATAGTTTTCATAAAATATGTGGTTAAAATAATTTTTTAAGTTTTCACTTAAATTTTTATCAACTTTTTTAACTAATTCAAACAAGTTCTATGTCTAGGGTGTCTTTCTGCATCATCTAAGAGTTCAGGGACTAATGGGGTTTTCCACCAGTAGTGTTAAACTTTTTAATTTTTCAATAGCAGAGTTAATTTTAAGATTGAAGAATTAATAAAAATGCTAGAGATAAAAAAATTATTTAAAAAAAAAAATCAGAATTATCTTTGATTACAATAGCCGCCAAATTAGGGTTTCCAATCCCCACTTTTTGTAATTAATCGTGGAGAATATACTGTGTACTCCTAATCTCTTGATGGCAAGTTCCATATATAAATACTACAATGAATTCAAAAGAATTATTATTATTATTTTTTTTTATCACAAGAAAGACACACACTATTAAAGGAATAAATCTCCATATATTAGCATAGAAGGAAATTTCCATCTGTAATGATTTGTAATTATCTTTGTCATATTATTGTTTATTCCATTCCTTGTGTAATTGACTAGATAGCAATATATATGTAGAGTTCCCGTACTGATTTGTGTTCTATTCAGAAGCAATAAAGAAACGTTCCCAAAACCAAAATTTAACTTGCACACGAAGCAAATATCTTCCTCCGTCTCTTGATGGAAGAACAATTTGTAGAGAAGAAAAATATGAGTTTGAATGAACTACCAACCGACTTATTAGTTGACGTGCTATCCAGACTCCCTGACAAGTCTCTTTGCAGGTTCACCTGTGTTTCCAAAGAATGGCACAGCTTGATATCTTCTCCTCATCCTGGCTTTGTCAAAGCTTTGCGCCACCAACGACTTCATCGAAAACCTTATCTATATATTTGGCACTGTAGTCTTTTCGACCGATATGTTGATTGGAATGTGGTAAAATTCTCTGTTCGCATATCCATCGTGGATGCAGTTAACGAAAGGATTCAGGAAAATTACTATTTCCCTATAAAGAATAATCATATTGATACCGTAATCTCGTGTCATAATCTTGTATGTTTGGTTCAACTAAATATTTCTATTTGTAATCTGAGCACCCAAGAGAAAGCAATTCTTCCTGATCCTGATCATCGTCGTCGTGTAGGTATAGGTTTAGGGTACTCATCTGTTGCAGGAGAATTCAAAATTGTTCGGTGGTTCACGGAGTATTTCAGCATGAGTATGGGGTGTGAACTTTTCAGTCTAACTGATCGTCTAAGATTCAAATCAGATTCGTGGAGATTGATTGAAACACGTCCTTTTGAAAAACTTAGCATCACTTCTGTGTTTGTTAATGGAATGATTTTTTGGCAGATAAATAACCCAACGTTAAGGAATTGTTTTGAAACCAGTTCTATTCTTGCCTTGGATTTGGATGAGGAAGAATCCCAAATCATTTCATGCCCAAAGCTCGATCCTGATGCCGTTGCCTACTTGGTAGAGTTAAAGGAGTGTTTATGTTTGGCACACTGTTCCAAAGGAAAGGCAATTGTGAAAATTTGGAGGCTGGAAGACCCAAAAAATAGTTTGTGGGTTTCAGAATATTACATCAATTTTTCATCTATATGCAACGCCATTGTGCCACTAACAAGTGTATTGGCTGGTCATGTTGAAGAGCTGGTTTTTATTCCAAAAGTAGGCAAAGGTCTCCTCTATTATAATGTAGAATCCGGTACGATGAGAAAACCTGAAAACTTGGAGAATTTTACACTGCATTGGTGTGAATTTCCTTGCGTTTTGAAGAATATGGAGCTCTAAATGATGACTGTTTTCTGAGAATTCAGTAATTTTATTCCATTTATCTTTTATACATATTGATATGATTGGTGACCATTATGCACTCTACGCATGTATATCTAAGGTCTCTGCTGTAATTTGTTCCATTCATTGAGCTTGGATGTTTCTTGTTGACCTCACTTTTTGAAAGAATGTGGCCAACATGTGTGGCGCCCACTTGTGAACACGTAAGTGGATTTTAATACGTGATCACGAGTTTCGAACCAATAGTAATCCGAAAGCATGAATATAGGGGTAGTTATACGTCATAAACCAAATGCATTAGAATTCCGGTGTTCACTTCGTGAAACGATTGTATTACGATTGCTAATTGATGAAGTTTATAGTGAGTAAGCCGTGACATGGTAAACGATTGTATTACGATTGTATTACGATTGCATTCACTACTTCTTGAGATTCTCACTGACGAAGGGGCTGGAACGATGATCACTGGGTAAACTACTTTCCATAAGTTGTACGCAATTAGATTCTCAAAAAATAAACTGTTTTGGCTATTTACTTGTGCTTGTAAGTTGACAGTAAATCAACGTTTCTGTGACGTAGTCATCCATTCTTGTACTTGGGATTTAGCATGTATTCGAGTAACCTATTCTTGAGAAACTATTAGCCAAAAAAATAAAAAATAAAGTGCTCTCTAGCAATAAAACATCACGTCCTTGACATTATCCTTAATTGCAGGGAGTGAGCGAACCTCCAAATTCTTCTCCCTTGTTGCCATGTCTCTTCCAGGAGCAGATCTACTGTTAGAGAGCTCACCACCTTCGACATAGTATCGAGCACGAAATGCAGCCAAATGGGCATAATAAACAGGAGGAACTACACAATAACCCAGATAAATATAAGCAAACTAAAATCTTGATCTTAACAAATCTCGTCTGTAATAAAACCGAGTAAAATGAACACAATGAAAAGAGGCTTAACTAACCTATAGAGACCGATCGAGTACACCTAGCATACCTGAAAGAGTGAGAGTTCAGGTAAGTAATGAACCAAGTAAAGCTCTTCATTCATAAAACTAAAAATTAAATTTCATTACAAAGATAGGCAGTGTAATCTTACGTATAACACAAACTGTTGGTTAACAGCTGCAGACCATCAGCATTGAATTTGTTCTCATCAAACAGCACATGGTAATGTGTGGGGCGGCTAGTTCCCTGTTTGACGTATAAAAGTATATCAGAAATCTAAAGCAAAGCGTCAATACATATCCTATTAAAGATAATCTACGCTCTGTATGCATTTCTTACAAAGCAAATGCACGTATATACAAAGATAATGCCTGCAAACTGACTAAACAGCATGAATCGAAGTACCTGAGTCCCAGCATGGCTACAGAGGAAGAAATCAAACCCGCTGGGGTGGCATATCTTGGTATCAATGACAGTACCTGATTATCGAAGTAAACCACATGATCAAATACAGGAAAAACAAGTGACAGATGCTGCTCCGTGTATGAACCAAAAAATTTCCTACCTGGCAAAATGTTTCCACTCTTGTCTGTTGTATTTCGATCCCCATGATTGGCAGGGAAGAAACGTGTATGGTGCCTTTTTTGAACCACAACAAAGGTAACAGTTGGTAGGTAATGTTTGTCCATTGAAAAACAAGCCTGAAGAAAGCTCCAATTGAGATACAATATGGTAAGGAACACACCACGTAAACTAAATACTTTTAAAGTTAAAAGAAAAAAATGGATAAAGAAACCTAAAGATCACATACCCTCCGGATTGCATTCATTTCATGCAAAAGAACTTGGTAAAACTGCTCTTCACCAACTCCATCACTGTCATTCAAAAAATATCAGCATTACATTTCACAGCATGTGTAGCAAAACACAGAAACAATTGAAAGAATGGTTTAAGTCTATTAACCGGTAGAAGATAATTCTCTGAGGCAGATTACCAACAGAATCTCTGAATGCAATCAACAGTTCCCTACAAAATGGAAGTGAATGGTAAGAGAGGAAGAGGAAAAACATTAGACTTAAGAGGTAATGTTAAGGGACCTTATCATGCCACCATGAACAATGCCTCCATTAGGACCTTCAGTTGTTTTGTAGAGATCTTGTATGATCTCTTCCCGAGGAGATTGTGCAGAAACCAACCCTCTGTACTTTGTTGCTCCTGGCCAGTCGACTGAAGCCACTACCTGTAAATAATACGGTCTCAACTCTTATCTTTCCTTTTCAAAAGAGGGGAGGAGCAATAGAGAGAAGTTTCAACATACTGCAGCAATGGAAGGGCTGGAATCCTCCCCTGGTTCAGGATGAGTTACATCCGCCCCAAATATGATTGTAGGGCTATCAGTTAGAAAAGGCATTCTTTTTTCAAAAGCCTGCTCCAGAACAGTATTTTGGCCACCAACCTAGTTGGAAATTTAACCATGAAAAAAAAAATAGAGAAGACAAGGAGCAATTTATTTAGAGTAGGAAGGAAATTGAAGATCGAAGTAGACTATTTGGGCACATGATATCCTAGCAAACCTTCACATTGACTTTTAGAGCAACATTCTCAAGATATATTTTAGAGTAACTAGATGCGTTACTGGGCTGACAACATTGCGAGACAATTCCCAACTCTGTTTCGCAAACTCGCTTGATCTGACCTGAAAAACAAAATACCACAATTCAAGATAATGAATCGCTTTAGAAATTTTGAATCCGAAAGGTTTATAGCTAACCATAAGACCCCCTGACATCAGGTAAAACGACTATTAGCAACTGAAGTTGTTTCCCGGTCAGTTTCAAGCTTGCCAGTCTAGTTGCAGAATCATTGTGCAAATCAAAGAGAGCCTTCTCTATCTCACGAGAATTAGCAAATCGAATAGGAACCAAAGGTCTTCGATTGAATTCCTAAAAGCAAGCACAAGATTCTGTAACTAACATTTGAAGTGCAGTGAATGCTTGCCAAAGCACAACTCAATGCAAAGATTAAAAGGCCATACCATCCCTTTACTATTACACATGTCAATTAATTCATTGCAGAACCTATCTACATCAACAATATTGGAACTCCGCGAAAAGTTAATGCATGTCCAGAATTCCACTTTGCCAGCATTAATCATTTTCTAAACAAGAACACAAATGTTTTCATTGAAGACAACTTTGACAACAGAAAAAAAATAAAAATAATATTCAGAAAGTGAAACTCAACAACATCTACAAATTATAATTCAACGTGAAGTCAGACGTGAGATAATGTAGGGTAATGAATTAATAATTTTAAATAATTTGTATTGGAAAGGAAACAATACGTTTAAGAGGCAACGTGCTCATTCAATTCACTTATTGAACTTTCATTATGTGAATAAAGAAACAAATCGAACTATGCTTCTAAAGATATCTATGCTGACAGGGTTAAAACAGCCTGAAAACACATCATTCAGCTAAGAACAGTCACCTTGTTAATCATATTCCATACTCCTACTCTTGGCTCAACACGAGATTCACGTCCAGTCTCATGATATTTCAACTGACATCCGAGGTAGCAGAATGTCAGAAGTCGCAGAAGAAGCATAATTAAAGTAATTCAGTAAACAAATATTAACAAAATTTACCACTGGGGCTGGCAAAACCCTTGCTTCAATGGATGAGAGTTCAGGCCAAACCTGAATCCCAAACTCTTTGTTCACAAGCATGTCACCATTGTAATTGTTAGAGTTAACCATCTACACGTAAACCAAATTATTATAAAACAAATAGTTGCTTTGTCTAAATAATTGTTAAGATATAGCTATAAAGAAATAAATGAGAAAAGAAGAAATGCTCGGATCTTAAATATCAATGCCTCAATGATGCTTTGTTCTCTTTGTTGTGGACGTAGGCAGGTTGCTTTTAAAAGTGCAATAACTTGTTTCTCGTTCAACTTTTGTGAATACCTTTGCCCGTCAACAATCTTACAAACCTGTAAAGAAAGAACACACCATTATATAAAATCCAGAGGCAAGGTCCATGGAAAACCGCAGACAGAATAATCAAAACAAACCTCCATTGGAAAATATGTAGCCTTTGTGCCAGCCTGAATTGCAGGCAAGTGTGGAAACTTGAGCACAATATTGTACTTTTGTCGAAAATACTGCACTACAGATATTTTTGTCCCCGTATCATCCAAGGAAAACCTACTCCGTTGGAAGGAAAAGATCAAAACCCAAATATTGAATTATAGCGTGATTCAATTATAAAAAGCAAATCAGTTAATAATTATAAAATAGTTATACTTGTTAACATGTATATATATGTATTTATTTACCTTTTATTCCTTTTATTTCATAAGAAAGGGTAGTTTAGTCTTTTTTATTTATTTGGTTTATTGATTGCAATCGTATATCATATATAAATATGAGAAAACAGATCCAGCAGCTAAGTGAATTGCTGCCATATTTTTCCAGCAATGGGTTTCTCAACTTTGCTTAGATTATGTTAAATTAACAATAATGTTAACTGAAAATGCCAAGCTGCAGAGAAGGAAAAGAGATGATGAAAATTGAAAATGATTATAAGGAAAGGATAACATAATTTTTCTACATGATATAACTAAAAAATTTGCAACATGTTAACAACTTTTGAATTGTCCCAACACTATTCTGTCACAACCAAATTAATACAAATTAAACTCAAATAAGAAATGAATGAGCTTACATCAACTGTTGTGCTGGTACAGTTGACACGCCTGATATTTTGTAATGTTTGACACGCTCCGTATGATTGAGCTCAACTCTAAGACCTGTCAAAGTCCTTTTCACCTAAAAAATCAAAGCAGATAAATTACTTTCTAATATATAGACGAAAGCAAAAAAATGGATGGAAATGGATATAACTATTAGACAACAATTATATCTAGTAAACCCCTCATGTTTCTGCCATAAAACAGTTCTCATTAGACAAACATAACATTTTCCATCGCGTGAGTTATGACACATTGGTACTGAAGATATCATAGTTCATAATTACCTGTTTTTTAAATTTGCGGAACCTTTCAGTTCTTAGAAATAAAGTAAAATCCTGCACTAAATGCCTAGTCAGTCATACCTTAATTCGATCTTGAGATGACAAGGGCATTGTTAGATCCCTACGCAAGTACTTGGCAACAAAATCAGAAACTAGAATCGGCTCATAAAATGCTTCGGCGGACATGTCTGCAAATGGCATTCAAAAAATTGAATCAAGTAGTGATCCCCATGTACCCGAAACAGTCAGCTTTAGAACTATGGCTGAATAAATTAATTTTAGCTTCATAAATGAGAAAACATGCTTATGGAATAGTGGAAAATACCACAGGGCAACAAACCATAAATCTGGGCATAAAAACATCTAAAAACATAGCCTACCAACGTTTAGAGAAAGGCCCATCTGGGTTGGACGTAGACTTTGATAGAATCCTTTCCAACATACCAACCCATCACCAAGATTCCTCCCTCCCAACTGTGGAGGAAAGAAGGACCTTTTTGCAGCTTTATAACTGAAATTTAAGGACAGAAAGTTAGTGATATTGAAACCAGAAAAACAAATATGAATTTATGTATCAGGGTGAGAAGAGATAGGCAATCCAGATTGATGGGAGTCAAATTTGAATCCCACATATCTAGGAATTAGTTTTTTAGTTAGTTCATATTTTGATATATCTGAATCTTTCAGTTGTATTTTGATTTTATTAGTTCCTAGAATTATGTATAGTTTTCCTATAAATGTAACACAATACACAAATAAAGAAATCATCAGAGATAATTCCCAAAACCTTTAGTAATTCCATATTTAACACTCAAACATTGATATATTGTAGAAACAAGTAATCAAATAAAAGATCTCAAAAGTTCCAAATATCAGCCACGCCACAGGTAAGTACAAAACATTACATCAAATCAGATAAATGCTTGCTGCTTTTAATCCATAAGAATTCACCTGGATCCATCTTTGTCAATAAGCTTGACAACAAAATCCATGGATGTAAAGGGCAGTGGAGCTGCGGAGTAAGCAATCTTTCTTCCATCATAGGCCAACATCCGCTTACTCAGATGAGAAGCACCGTAAGTTTTGATAAGTTGGCCCATAATTTCCCTGCACACTTTCTTTGACGTCACCTCAGGAGTGATAGAAACCTGCCAACATAGTTATAAATAAATGCATATACAGGATTAGTCAGACAAATAAAACATATAGCATTGCATATATCAACACAGAAGAAATGAAAAACACATCCTCACATGGTATTGTGTCAGAACTGTCTCAGCCAGCTGAACCAGAAAGTGATTCGCTCTCACGATCACCTTTCTTCCAGCTGTGCCGAAACCTGGTCTCGGGGGCCTCATGCACTTCGAAGATACCGGTGGTAGCTGATCCGGTTGCGTCGGCTTAGAAGAGGACGAAACAGACGGGTCTAGAGTGCTGCCTCGGCCGCCACGTCCGGATGACGGCTTCGGCTGCTGGCCGCGACCTTCGCCTCCCCTGCGTGCAGACATTTTTACTGTGTTTCACAGTAAACAATGTCTGATATATATATGCAGCGTGAGGCAAAGAGAACGTGGGACTGGTGATGGTAAACAATGTCTGATATATATATGCAGCGTCAGGCAAAGAGAACGTGGGACTGGTGATGGGGCCTGTTCATACAGTGGCCTATCAATAGACTCCTCCGATTTTAAAGTAATTACATTAATATGGGGTGCAAATTAAATAAATAATAATATTGAAGTAAGAGTTGATAACATTTATTTTTCGTGGAAAATATCAATTTTTCATCCAAATTTTTACTTTTGAGTATTTGATTACTATGTTTTCAATGGAAATATTTTTCGACTTTTAAAAATATGGCTAATTTTCCTTGTGTTTAAAGCTTGGGAGGAAGTAGATTTTTAATTTCCTCAAAATAAAGAAAATATTTTCTTTTCTAAATGATAATTTTTATACCAATCAAATACACTCTAATTAAAGTAATTGCATGAAAAAAGAATTAGAGAGGTTGCGAGACGATTTTGCGAAAGGTGCTAGAAAGGTAAAAATAATGAAGAAAATATATTATTAAATCAAAGCTAATCAAATCAAGAAAATTTATAATTTTCATATTCATTTTTACACGAATTATATTTAGGTTTATAATTTATTTTTATCAAAGTTCTCTTGAATTATGCGGGCAATTAAGTAAAAATAATATAGAAAAGATATGAAAAATATTGTAAGAAGTTTGGTTAATAAAGGCTTCTTGTGCCACTCCTATTCCTCCAAAGCTCACACTATTCCTAACAAATTAAAGCAGCCCACACTATTCCTAACAAATTAAAGCAACATTTGTCTTGCTAGTGATTAACTTGTTAGTTGGCAAAGTTGATAATAACTTGTAAGTTGGTCAAACTTGATTTTTACCTATACATTTTGAAGTATTTATTACTTTTACTTATTTCTTAATCACACATTCATTGAAATACTGTTAATAATCCACCGGTCCAACCACTAACCCACCTTTTAAACATTCACTTGACGACTCAATGTTTTGGTCAAGTCGATGCTCGGGTCAGTTATGATATCAATTAAACAATGGTTTTAGGTTCCATCAAACTCATCATGGCTTGCAGATCAACACAATGTTCTTGTACCTACCACCATGCTAAGGATTTGGCATGTTTGACTTTGGCAGAGCAAGTTCAAATTTCTCTAAGTATTGTCATAGAGATATGTCACAGTGCACCAATAAACAATTATGGTCTAACCAATCATAATCTGAGGCAATTCTGAAACATATGCCCCAGTATAGAAAATAAACATTTTACAGAGAAATATGCATTGAGAACAAGAAGTTCAGAAATGATACTTATACAGTTGAAATTTAGTGGAAGTTTTACAGGTGCCGAATTGTCAGCACCTGTTTGGCAGCATCTAATAGGCTATTTTAACTATGTTTTTTGCTCAAAACCCAATGAAATAGAATAATGTTATGTAGCCCCAGTGGGGATTTATCCCCCAGTCTACGTGGCGTTGTATGATAGGTTGAATGAAAGGTGAAATTAAATAAGTCATCTAATTTCACCTATCATTGAATGTCATAATAGCGCCACGTAGACTGGGGTTGAATCCCCACTGGGGACAAATAGCATTACTCAATGAAATATTGCCATGTGACATTCTGTAAAACTCCCAGTAAATTTTCCCCGTACATGTACCATTGCTTCAAGAAGTTACATTCTTCCAGTTCTCATTCTCCTAAGCACTTGAATAAAGAATTGGAAAGAAGCAGTCCCTGACATAAAAGGGAAAATATAAATAAGTAAATCACAGAAATTTTCGAAGAGGCAAAGGGTAAAACTCATTTGAAGACAACAGACAATCACATTGACTAGGGCTGTTTTGGAGGGTTCACCGTAGGTTGAGAATATTTAACTGGTTTTGGTGCTCCATCAATAGCCATGTTTCCCACTCCATCCTCCATCGCCTCCCTCTCATCCTTTTCCCTCTTCTTTTCTGCACAATTGTTTCCCATTGAATGGAGTTGAGACAGAGAAGGGGTGAGTCTCTTAGTGCCTGCACTGATCCATGGATGATTAAGAAATTGTGCTGCTGTTGGCCTTTTCTCTGGCACAAAATTGAGTATCTGGACCAGGAAATCTGCCTGGTCATTTGCATCCTGCTCACTAAACTCATATTTCTCCCTAATCACCTTATTAAGACGCCAAAATTTTAATCGTCGTATACGTCTCAAATCTCCATATCTATTAAATAATTCTCGGGAATAGTGCCCACCTAAGGCAACCTGCAAGATGTTTGTGAAGCATGGGAAATTGGTGACTTCATACGGATAAAATTATCAAAGGTTCCTAACTTCACAAAATTGATCTAGTCCACAGATTTAAAGAAGGGGAAACGAATCATCCTAATTTGCTTCCTAACAAGCAGTGTAGAAATATTCTCACCTTCCGTGGCATCATACCAAGAAGCTCCATCGTCAAGGCCAAATGATCCTTCAAAGAAAAGCACTTAAAATAAATAATAAATCAACTTTACCAGAAACCAATATATGTAACTCATATAAGTATTTTTACAAATTTGATCCAGAGGTTGATCGAGACAGCGCATTATGAAACTAGACATTGGGAAGGAAAAGAAAAGTAAAAACACAAGCATAATCTGAATAGTTTCCTTAACTTAAAAAGAAGCCAGAATTGAACCAGTCACAAAAAAGCTAAATGAAAATACAGCAGTTATCAGCTTACTATCAAATAACAAATACTTTGATAGAATCTGCAAAAGATATTTCATCTCCATCAAAGCTCAAAATCTTATCACATCAACCTCTTACCTTCGACTTCAAAATCGAAGAGATGCATAGATATTACCGCAAAAGAAACACGTGAATAGAAGACGTGAGATGGAAAAGAAGCAAACTAAAGGCGGCAACAAAAATGCGCAACTACCGCATCCATATAATCACCACGAATAATAACTCAAACACATGTAAAATTTTGCACCACAGTCTCTCATAACCAACCCTGCTCAGATCATATATTCGAATACTCAAATCTTAGTGAAGAAACGGTCATCAATGTCCAATTGTCAGATTCACTTTCCAGAGACAGTACATTATCACTGGTAGTAACAAAGTTTGGGTGGAAGAGAGGGGGAAAAAAACAAATGAGAAATAATCAATCCAAAAGAGAGAGTATCAACATTACAAGTGTTTGATGAGAAAATAACAGATCTATACTGATAGAGAAGATGAAATTAAACAAAAAGTAGTTATGGAAGCAAATAAGATGTCAAGAAAAATGTGCCTTTTTTTTCAACATTATGACAATCAACAGGACTACTAGCCTCATTATCTGGCTCATCATTGTCAGAAGCTTCCTTCCCCCCACACTTTTGAGCTGCTCGCTTAGCCTTTTTTCGGATTTTCTTTTTCTGGTTCTTGGTCAGGTCTCCATTTGAGCTCTTTGCATCTTTAGAAGTCCCAGACTCAGACAGGATCTTGCTTTTACTGAATGGCAAGACGAGGCGCATCTGACTTTGTCGGATAAAGAGCTGGATCGATCATTGAAAGAAGTAATATGTTCTCTGGTTTCAAGTCTGTGTGTGATTGACAGATGCCAGTGCAAATAATCCAATCCGACTAAAATATGGAAGCAAATTTCTTTAACCATATGAAGAGGAATTCCTCTGTAGTCTGAATATTTAATTAGGGTCAAAAGATTGTCACCCAAGTATTCAAAAACCATACAAACATGCTGCCCATTTGACCCTGAATGCTTAAAGTGGTCCAAAAGCTTTACAACACATTTCTTATCTTCAGGGTCTCCCTCGGCAATCTGTTTTAATATAGTGATCTCGTCCATTGCTGCTTCAGTGTAGTGCTGCGCACTCTTTTGAACTTTAAGAGCTACGTACTGCTATTATCAAACATGTAACCAAATAAGGAAACAATAATATATTCACGGCTAATTGACAGTAAGCAGGTTGTAAAGCTAAACACAATTAATAATGTGCATTTCACTCTCACTCTTCGTACGTGTGTGTTAGTTCAAAGCAAGAGAGAGAGAGAGAAGTTGGGGTTGAAGACTTGTGCATTTGCTCCATTCGTTTTTTCCCACACGCATTGGCGTCGATATCACCTTTTCACTCGCTTTAAACCAATAACTTCTTATCTTCATCAAACACAGAACATAATTATAATATATATAGAATTGATGATCTTATTTGTTATCAACCAGAGTGCAAATTAAAAACAAACATTTTCATTCTTCATTTACAACTACAACACAAACTAAGCCTGGCTATGAACAGATTGGACACCAGCTACATCCTACATGAGTCCCTTTTTGTCACTCATCACAACATCTTTATGTACATCATATGAATCTTAGTAAAATAATACGCACACTGGAAGCTATTGTGGTTGAGTATACCTTCCCGGGCCAGCTAATCTTTCAGTTGTAACTATAAGCTACTTAAGTAGACAATACGGGTATGTTGAGCATACCCTCTAGGGCCAGAGTAAACATTTTTATCTCAAAATAACAGACAATGAGTACAAGAAACTCTGCCAATAAGATTAAACTATCTATTACTACTATTGATATCTATATTTTTCCATTTCTCAGGCTAAGATATATCATCATAGAATACCTTAAGATCATTAGCAATAAGCTATAAAAAGTAACAGAAAATGGATATGATGCAATTAAACTGAGACAATTTTACATGTATCTTTAAAACATACATATTAAGATAAAGAAGAAAAATATATCTGTAAAAACTACCGAATTGTGCGTACCAAAAGGCCCAAGCGAGCCAGACGATGGAGAAAGGACCCTAGCCGAGCTTTGAACTACATATCGACCGGCCTGAATGTGTCACCGATTCGCACAGCGTGGTACCCCCCGCGCCTGTAGTCCTCCGTCCCCTCGTCTTCCGACGTGTAATCGCTAGTCTCACTCTGATCGTCGCCGTTCCTCTCCACCGCCGCCGCCTCCTCCGCCATCGATCGATCAATAGGCTAGATTCTAACCACTCAAAATGAATGTTACGATAAATTTCAAAATGCGATCCAAGTGAGGGGGCGCAATAGCAGAAGGAAACACCAGTTGCAGTTCAAACTCTGTGTGATTGTCATTCTCGAACACGGTGAGTGATTAGGGTTTTTATTTCATTTTAATTCGAGAGGAGAATATGTTGCGTAATTATTTTATTTTATCATTTTTTTTTTTCTTTTATCAACGAGGATGTGATTGTTTCAAGTTTTTACTGCATTTTAATATAGTAGCCAGTTGGGTGCGTTGTACAAATTTTATATTTATCGTATTTTTATTAGTATATAAATTTTAGTTTTTAGGAAAAATTTTGAAGTAATATCTAGAAATATTTTTATGATATAAGAAAATAATTGTAAATTATTTTTACAATTGCAACAGTAAAAAAATGTGTTTGTATATTTTATACTTGAATAAGAAATATACGAAGTTATATAAACTATTTTGCTTGTATTCTTTGATAGTTTTCATATGATTAAGTTAAATGTAAATATTATATTTCTAAATTTTGTGTAATTCAATATTGGAAAATTGAAGATTGAGCACAAATTTATAAATTGATTTGCATATTCATATACGTTTATATTTTGTCATTCATTTATTTTAATATTTATTTTATGCTTATGTTGAAAAAATAAAAATTTGAAATTTTTTTTTCTACATTTTGTTTGGTAAGTGAATGTTCGATGTTTGCATTCTCGATTTTTGTAAGTGCAAAAATCGATATATACAGTAAACTGTAAACACGGTAGGCAGTATATACTTACTACAAATACGTTAGGTAAGCTGCAAATACGATAATTTCCTTACAAATACGGTAAACAGCATTTACGATAAACTGCAAATACGGTAAGTTGCCTGTAAATACGGTAAGATGTAAATACGGTAAGGTGAAATTACGGTAAGCTGCAAATACCATATTTACAACATACCATATTTGCATCATACCGTATTTACAGTATACCGTATTTGCATCATACCGTATTTAAGCATACTGTATTTGTATCATACCGTATTTACAACATACCGTATATACTGTCGGTAAGCTGCAAATACGGTACATACGGTATGTTAGCATATACGATTGCATTGTTGCTAATTTGTTATAAATGCATAAAATTTATTTAATATTTAATTTCTTAGTACTAAATGTTGTTTCTTTTTTATAATTGTATTTCTCGGAATTAAAAAAATAAAGAATGGTGCTTATAAAATTGCTAATTTTTAAATATGTTTTTTGTTGAAAATAAAAATGATTTTTTTATGCCATTTGTAAAAAAAAAAAAAATTACTATAATTTTATTAGCGTAGTAATAAGAAGATTTATTATGACTATTTAAAAAAATTTTAACACCACACAATAAATCCATACTTGTGACTGATTTTCTGTTCGAAGAATAATGACAAATTTTCACAGGTTTTATTTTTTCATTTTTGTTTTCTTCACAAGCTTTTTTTAGAACTTTTTTTGTATTATATTAAAGTTAAATATTTCTTTGTTCGAAGAATGATTATTATTATTTTTTAGATTCTTTTAATTATATTTTTTATTATATTTAATACATATTTTTAACTAATAAAATAACAAACAAAACAAAATCAGGTTGCATGATTAAACTTCAAAAAAAAAAAAAAGTTCACAACCCCGGTGTTCGGAGTGTGCACCAATTTTTTTGAGGTGACAGAAGCAGCGACTTGGAGTCTAGCCTGATACTGAGTAATATTAGCATTTGCACCAACTGAGCCATGAGATGTATTGGCTGTACTTATACATGTGTCCTACCAACAAAGTTAGTTTGCTGTTTTATACAAGTATGATTACCAGTTCATCAATTTGAACCAAACCCATCAAAATAAGTGCATGTTTAGCAAAGCTTAAATTATAATTTAAGTTGCTCAAAAATAATCAGAAGCAAACCCATCAAATTAAGTGCATGTTTGGCAAATATTAAATTATAATTTAAGTTGGTTAAACATACTTTTACCCAAACATTTTGTAAAACCGTAACTTATAAGTACTCTCAAGCATGCTTTAAGTCAACTTTCCGTGTGTATATATTTGACTGTAGCACGTTTTGTATTCAGAAATGACATAAAAAACGAAATTGTTAGAAATACACAACTGCAATTTTCACTTAAATTGAATAAAAAACAAATATGCATAAAAAATCAAGAAACTCAATAACTGGGAATAAATTTTGAATCTCACAAAAAAAATCTCTCTGAATAGTTCGCAGAGATCAATTGATCTCTTCAAATTGTGCGGAGAGACTACTCTCGCCTCCACACTTCGCATAGTGCGAAAAGATTGTGCCATCTCTCTACACTATTCAGAGTTTTTTTTTTTTTTTAAAAAAGGCCAATAAACACATAACATTTGGAATTGGAGATGAAAAACTACAACAAATATAAGCATAACAAAAAGAAAGAAAAAACAACCTGAAAAAGGAAGTTGTAAGGAAAAAAAGCATTATATAAATAAATATAGGCACCAAAAAAATGAGTGAGATGAAAAACTTGAACAAATACAAGTACGAAAAACATACAGCATAAGCACTATTAAACTGAAGGTCCTTAAACATCGATCAGAATGAAGTGCAGAATGAGGTTGCACTTCATGCATCAAATTTTTTAGTTGAGGATTCTCAATGCACATCTGTTTTCTCTTTCTTTTGCAAGCTCGACTATTCCTAAACCAATTACCAACATTTTTTTAAGAAATAATAGGATTATACACCGAAGAAAATCAATCTCTGTAGATGCAGGTATCCAACGTTGTCTTCCCATAACCTTTTTGGACGACAACAAGCACAAAAAATGAAAAAAGAGAGAGAGAGAGAGAGAATGAAACAAACCACACTCGTTGAAAGCTCAAGATGAAGTTTGAGAGTGGTATATAAAAGAAGAGATTGAGAATGTGGTTGAAGAAAAACAGATGATTAATCGAAATTCCACAGAAGTAAATTCTAAATGCCACAGCACCAAAACGAAAAAAAAAATGGAAATGAAGATATCAATCAAAGGAAAATAAGGAGTATAGTTGTGAGCATAAGGAGTACGATTTGTATGGTTGTCAGCATGGTCGCAAGTATGGATATTGTCGAGGTAAAGAATAAAAAACGAAGGGAAAAAAAATAAGCATGAACAGTATAGTGGGATTACGTTACTGTTTTGTCTACAATGCCATTCCATTCACGTTTTTAATAGAAGTTAGATATATTTAAAAATATATATATTTCAAATCGAAGTGAAATTTTAAATGATGACAAGTAAAATTACAGGAATGAATGAATGAAAGAAAAAAATCGTAAAAATTACTTGTTTTTTTTTTTCCTTTAGTCACTGTTTGTTTCTCATTCTTTCCCCGTTAAAATGAAAAATATAACCATTATCCATCATATCAAATCACCAAATTTAAATTTATATCTCTTGTATGGGGCTCACAACGACTATACTTTTCATTCTCATTTTTACAAAAATAAGAAACAAACGCCCCCTAATTTTAATTTTAAAGTTTGTTAAAGTGTCATGCAATCATTATGTTGTTTTTCCTTAGTGAAAAAGTAAAAGAATATTATAAATTATAAACTTTATTCGATAAATAGGAAATTGTATATTTATTATGCTATTTTAATTTTAATAATAGATTTCATAAGATCTATAACTTTTTAATCACACAATTTATTAACTTTTATCAAAATCTTCGAATATTTGATTTTTAGCTTCGCCAATTTGTGACTTAATCTTTAAGATTTCTTCAGGTTCATACGAGGGGTCCAATGCACTCATTCATAATCAATCATTGTCGATTGCTCTTTTCTCCATCTTCTTCTATTTAATTCAATACAATATTAGCTTTAACGATAGCAATCGACATAATATAGAGGTTGTTTGGGAGTGATTTTGAGAATTGATTTTTTTACCGTTAGAAAAAAAGTAGGGTCCACCTGTGAGAGAAGAAGTCAAACATGACGACTGAAATAGTGAAATAACGGTCAAAAAATCAATTTTTTTGTTGAAAAAATCGGGCCCAAACAGCCCCTATAGTAATCAATCCATTGTCAACTTTGCAATGAACAAACCAATTATCTGTCGATCAAGTAATTAAAAGATATATAAGATCAATTGTGTATGTGATCAACAATGTTACAAAGCAACATGAAGCACAAAAAAAAAGTCAACCCTTGAAATTGATTTTGCAAAAAACTTAAAAATTCCATGTGAATAATCAATAGGGAACAATATAAAGCCGCTCTTTGAGATACCTTTTTTTTTTTTTTTTTGGGGAAATATGTTTTGGAATAGCGAGTATTTGTAGAATATGTGGTTAAAAAATAAAAAAAAATTTGAATTTACGTGTAAAATATTTTTTGAAAGAATGTGTAATTGAAAATAAGTTTTAGAAAAAATGTGGATCACAACGCGATGAAAATAGTACAAAATATTTAAATAGAAATGTTTCACGAATTATGTTAGACTGTCAAATATTTGAAAGCCTCACAGAGACAAGGTTTTGGACTACCTTACCAAATGGGATTTTGTCCAATTCCTATTCTACATGAGATATACAAAATAAGATAAATCTCTGCTTTGTTTTGCATATTGAGAATTAAATAGATAGGTAAAATAATAATAATAATAATTAAATTTTTATGCAAAATCAACTTTTATGCTAACATATGATGTTTTACACCTAATACTAGAATATATTGACTTTGACTTGGACTAAGCCCATTAGTCTAATTTAAGTTTCTTGACTAAGCCCATTAGTCTAATTTAAGTTTCTTACCCTACGTCATTAAGGGCATGTTTGATTGTTCAATTTTTCATGGAAAATGAAATTCAAATTCCAACTTCCACCCATTTTGTGTTGTTTGATAGCAAAATTTTACCTAGAAAATGAATTCCCCCCCCCCCTTTTGTGTTGTTTGATACCAAAAATTTTACCTAGAAAATGAATTCCCTCCCCCCACCCACGTGACCCATTTTCTATGAATTTGTGGAAATTGATTTCCTATGGTTTTGGTGGGAAATCAATTTCTAGGTTTCTTTTTTTTTTTTAATTAAAATTTTTTTGGTAATGGAAACAAATTCTAACCACAATTATAACAAATTATATCCCTTTAATTGACAATTTTCATAAAAAATAAAGTCAAATGAACAC